TTAACGTGGGTATGCTGATGCACAGTCAGCAGACTCACGGTCCCTAAGTTCGAGTTCCGACTCAATGGTATAGAAACTAAGACGATTGGGTCCCTCGAGCAGGACTGGCTGATTGCACAATCAAGTATTGAACTTGAATCGTGGGCGATGGGGCCGCAACATCCATACGCTTGATTGTTGGGATTTTTATTTCAATAATAAAATAGGTGTAAGTATGTATGCATTTTATTGACTTGCTTGTTTTTTCAAAGTAAATTGAAATTTAATACAAACCCCTTCTAATTTTAATTATTACATCGTTGTCCTTAAAAATAATAAAAAAATAGGTATTTATGTCCCCGTTCAACACAATATCCTTGAAAAGCCATCAAACTGACCCTAGACAGGTCTGTTTTACATCCTGTATTACAAAGTCATTTGACTGTTTCTACATTAAAAACACAAGAATCAAGAAAATATTCTTGTGGCATAAGACATAGTTGCGATTATATTTATATTTTCCTGACATTAGGCCACATATTATGATATACATTTTTCAACACTGATATCTAACATCGGTTATAATTATTTATTTTTATAATTTATACTATATTATTTATATTTTGTACGAAAAAAGTCATTACAGAACACGACAAATGGTAAGTCATATGTATAAAGATACATTGTGTCCTAATATAAGGTAGTAGTGGAAATTTCTTACTGACAATATTTATGGAGAAGTATTTTTAGATTGAGGTAAGTAGGTAGGTAATAGACTTAAATTTAATTACATATATGATTATTTATATTCAAATATATTTTATATAAACATATAACTTTAATCAAAGATTAGATAATATAAAGCTGTAAAAATTTCAAAATCACCCAGAACATAATTTCATGATATGCATATACATATTAACTAATAAAAAAAATTAAGTTTCACACAAATATGTGTTAGTATAAAAGCGCAATAAGTTCATTTTCGTTATAGATGGTTTTTCTTTTCATAAGAGAACAATTATTATGTATACAATAGTTTTGATATGTTAAACGTTCTTGCATAATAAATTCGGTATAAATTTTGTAATATTTTTATTGTAAAAATTGGTAGGTAATAAATGGAGTTGCTTTTGATGAAGTTTGCGGAGCAGAAACTTCTTTAGGAAATTGGCAGTCTTACTTCCTAAGTCTTGCCCTTATGATTAATGATTACATTATATAAAAAGATAGGTACAATATACAGTAGAATCTATGATTGCCTGGCACAATACACAAGTGCTAATAATCTGTTTATTTGAAATGCGTTTCGTATTCTGTAATCACATACAAAAATAGGGAACTCAGTAACATCAGCTCAGGGTAATCGCTTTTGCCTTGAATAATTCAATCACGTAAGTCCGGTAGCTATACTCCATCTAATCAACAAATTGTAGCATAAACAAGATGAAGGCGTGACACATTTGGCTATTGTAAAATGCCCCAAAGCGTAAACATTGATGGAAATGCAGACAAACTCGTATTGAGTTTTTTTTGCGTAATATTGCTAATTGGAAAATAAAATTTGCGCAAAATACTGCAAAATAACCCATCAGGTAACAATGCCACGGAACATCTCCAAAATTTGATTCAAATCAATTCGTTGTTTAAATTTACATTCTTTCATCAAATATATTTTTTCAATTGAATGCAATAAATAAATCTATTCTATTCGATTTCTGTGTTAATCCTTTCATCTCTTTTGATTATATGAAGTATAGGTTACACTAATTTGTTACAAGAAATTTTATTTCTTCAGCAACGCCAAAGAGAAATTTTACATGCATAAAGTGTCCTCTCTATAATCTGTTAACAGTAAAATCTAGACACTTAGCGATTTGGATAATTAACACTTACCTAATATCTACATATTTCTACCTCCAGTTGGGTGGTAATTTTTTGTACAAATTGTTTTATAAATAATTTTCTCATGTAATCTTTCCGGAAAAAAGACACAGTACAGGCATACAGCTGTATAAGTCCACTGCAATAATATAAAGTTGCATCGCTACTAGTCACTGGTCACTGCTATATAATGCAATTGTTACATTCTATTAAATTTTTAACAAATAATCTATCATTGGAAAACGTACTGTGGGCGTTCCTTTATATGCGCTTCGCTAATTAAAATTGAATTTTCGCGCGATGACGTCGGTGCCCTGGTCGGCGCATGAACGGAAGCAACGGTCAACTCGCTGCACGGGCAGTACAAACAGAACCACGGCCATCTTTACTCATCAGGGCAACACCGAATAGTTGTTTAATTGTTGATGGAGTGTTCGACTAGAATTGGAAGCCGGCTTGTTTACCTTCGGTTTTTCTTGATTTTTCTCGTGAAATCTCACATTTCTATCCCCAGTTACTTCAGTATTGATGAAAACCGTGTACTTACCTATTATTATTTAAAAAAATAGGGTGTAGTTTCCAGTTTTTAGCTATTTAGCAAAAGCAAGTTTATAGTGTTGTGCTGCATGACTGTCATTGGCTGTTTTCGCGGTAGGCGTGGCTTGTAACGGGTACCGGGTATCGCCGAAATGTATAAAAACAGCCGTTTTCAGGCTAAGAGCAGTCAGCTCTCACCAGACAGCGACTGAGACTTCATCTCTCCTGTCTGCCTCGATCTCTGAAGAGAAGAAGCTCTCCTCTCATTTGTTCGACAGAAGTGTGGTGACATGTACCCAGCACTTTAGGATCGCGTAGTAGGCTGACAACGCTTTGTAGTGGGTCCCCTTACTATCGGGATCACTTTAGGTGGCCAGTAGACGATCCCCGCATTGCGTTGTTGGTGCGAGCTGCCTTTTTTGGCACGAAGAAAGAAACGACAGAGCCAACGATTAATCCCTCGGGCGCGAAATAAGGCTTCCGGGAAAGCCCAGTTCGTCGCAAGAAAACCCGCATCAATCCTCGCACTGGTGGTTCGTGTCCTGGGGAAGTACTTCGCATTAACATAAAACAAATCCCCGACAAAGTCCTTTTCAAGGCAAATGTCTGGAAGAAAAAGAAAATTCGTTTGATTTCTGATTCTTAATTGAATCTCGCGTTTCAAATTCGGCACATTCGTGCAGCTTTCCGTCTAGCGAATCTAAAATCCTCCCCCGCGATTGTCACCTTTTGTTTTGGAAGCCTTCATCAATGGTTACCACCCCCTCCGTGTCCGTCCTCGACGATTTTTTGGAAGTTTTTATGAAAATTCTCTTTTCTTCTGCAAGCCCCACTTCGAATTGAAACTCTGAAATCAAATACAATAATTTTCTTCTTCCGAAGGCTCACCAAGTTGGGACAGAGTTTGCTAACAGACTAGAAAGTCTAGACTATCCAAGCTTGAATTTTTCTTGAGGCTTTTTTAGGAAAAATCTCAATTTCAGTTTTACTAAAGCAAAATTAGCTTCGCCAAGTTGGGACAGAGTTTATTGACCGACCGAAGAGTCTTAACTACCCCCAGCTTGAATTTTTCTTCAGACTTTTTAGGGAAAAATCTCAATTTCAAACTAAAACAAAAGCAAGATTTGCCGCCGAGTTAGAACAGAGTTTTATGAAAAGACATAGAAGTCGAAACTACCTCTAGCTCGAATTATTTCGGAGGGTTTTTAGGAAAAACCTCATTCTCAAGACAGTACAAACAAGACTTTGACAAAAACACACGAACCTTCAAAGGTACGACTGGTCTCCGGACCTGGTGCACCGTTTCAGTTCCCCCGTGTTTTTATTTGTCATCTAACTTTCTCGAAGCCGCTCGACGGTTTCCTCAGAGTGCCATCTGAGCTCAACGTACTGTCGTTGTAATAAAACGTTTCCAGACACCGTGTTCATACAACTTTGGCCCCTAGGACTTCAAAAAAACGAGTTGGAGCCCTGCTCCCAAATCACGAAAAACAACGTCAATTCCCATATCCTTTCCTGGAGGATGCTGGCTCGCAAGTTTTCCCTTAAAGGCCAGCGGGGTGGTTTTGGCGGGACCTCCTCTCAGTAAAACTGAGAAGTTGTACGAAAACCGTGGGAAACACAAAGGGTTGTTGTTTTGCCCTAAAAACAACTGGCATCCCGACTGACTTCGGACATAGACAAAAATGACGGACAGAATCAGTCCAGACTTATACGGCGCCACTCTAGAAGAGTTGGACACGATTTTAAGCCAAGGTCCAATTCCTGCAGCCGTATCAGAGTCAGATTTTAACGAGCCTGAAGTCCTGTTCGCCGCAACAAGCCTGAATCCGCCCGACGCAGCGGAGACCATTTTTTAGCGTTTCGTTGACTGACTGATTTGGTAAGGGTGAGCTTCATAATAATTTTTCTTCATCATGCCTAAAGCTCAATTTATAAACTCGCCGTCGGGATTCCATTTTCGTCGGCCTCGCTGATCACCGTAGTCTCTTATGCTGATGGTCCCAACTAGAGAATTATTCTCATTTCTTCCAACCACTTCAATAGAATCAAATTTAAATACCTTTTTAAATATCTTAGAATAATTTTGGACCTCTATCTTACACTTGGCAACAGTGCATCGGCAAGCTGTTCAGGGCCTGATAAGTAAAGATGGCCGTGACGTAAGGTGAGTTTTACATTTAGGATTCGTGACGGAGGCCATTTTACCGACACGATTTCCGCGTTCGCATTTAAAATACAGTCCATACCTAAATGCTTGTCCTGCATCTTTTCTATCGGGACAATGTTCTGATTAGATTTGTCAGACTATCAAGAAAATACACTGTCGCTATGTGGCGAGTTTTCTTATGGTTCTTATTTAGTTTGGCATACAAATTTTCTCGAGTGACAATCAATTATCCAGATTATAGAGGTTACACTGTACAAAACTAAAAGTTTTACTTACTGCCATTAGTCTCCGCAATCAAATTATTCAACAAGACTAATCCCCAAAGGACGTATTATTAATATAGAAATCTGTTTAAATATACATATAAGTTGCCATATAATAATAATTGACCAAATAAATATCACATTTAGAATTGGAGGAAGTAACAGTTTCAAAAGCTAAACTTGCCTCTCACCTTGAAGAAGCCAAGGTCATGGCGATTGTGTATAATTGAACCCAGACCAATGTAATTCTCTAATAAAACTTTAGAGTGCAAAATGCGCGACTCGTAGTTTTTGCCGATTTCGACGATTGTCTTGCAAAAGTTTTCTATGAAATTGTCCAGGTCGTAGATTCTTCTCAGGCTTTCATCAGAACAATCTAAAAAATACACAATAAAACCGGATGTTATGAATATTTTTAATTTTACCTTTGTGAAAATACAGAGGATGGTATGTGAACGTCCAAATAGGTAAATCTTCTGTGAATGGATTCCATTTGGAAGAAAGCTTTACAGGTTTTCCTTTGCCAAACAGAATACGAATGCCTTTCATATTTCGATCCCTATAAAATACCATAATATAGTTTTTACTACAATCCATAATTTCTTGAGTTAAATAAGATTTATAAGCAAAAATAAGGTTTAATAAATAAGTCTGCAATTATGGCGAAGAGGAGGCATAAAAAGGTGTAAAAAAATACTGTCCCAGCTTGTTGCCATTTTTTCAAAACTTGGCATAATGGCATATTTGTGGAAGAAGTCGGCGACAAAAATTAAACTTTACAGTGGTAAAAAGAAACTTTAACCGTCTCCAAATAGAATATAACTCACCTGAAACCCAGCTGTCCTCTTCGATAATAAAGTAAGTATCTTTGTTGAAATTATCTTCGTTGGTTGCCATTAGTTTGGAAAAATACAAACTGTTGAATATTTAATATTTACTGTTAAAGCCCGAGAAATGGCCAAAAATCTACTGACAATAACGATGACTGACAATATCATTAAATTATTGACAAACTATCAAACTAATAATGTGCATGATGTATTAAAGGACGTTCAAAAAACACAATAATTCACTATATTCTCCACAATTTGATTTAAATCAAAATAGTTCTAATGGTTTGGAATTATGTTCTAGCAGTTTGGACTTTGGTATCACAAATATTTTCTAATTCAATGCATGTGTTGCCCATCAGTTATCCTATAGATTTATTGTTTATTTCTTCTCTATCTCTGGTATCAACAATACTTTCCACATGTACTGGATTCATTATTGGGCTTCATTTTCTTGTGGGATAAGACAACATCTGCAGAATGCTCAGATTTATAGTTGAATTTAAAAGTTAAGGCACCATCATGCTATTCATGTTGAAGTTACGGAGTATTCGACAGCTATTAAGTTGAAAGTTTTAGAAGCAAATATACATCATCTCTAGGTGCCAAATACTTGAAAAGATTCGACCCTGGTTTCTCGACTACGGCTAAATCGAACAGAAGCTGACCAGGATTAGAAGGTGTGTGCTTTTATATGAAGTTGTATGATTCCAAAAACCTAAGGTCCTCACTATGGCAATAGGAAGTAAGAAATGTCGGTTCGGAAAATATAACCGAAAATAAATGAAGCTGAATTGAATCAAATGAAAAATAGGAAAACCCCTGGCAAAGATCGGAGATAGGATGAGGATAACCAATAGGATGTTGATGTTGAATATATGGAGAACACAGTTGACAGAAAGCTTGAGAAATCAAGGGGATCAAACCTGAAGTATGGAATAATGAAGAAGCAATATTACTGTACACAAAGGATTCAATATAGACAACTATCGGCCAATTAGTTCGCTGTCCCACTTGTTCTCTTACAAAAATGATCACCAACAGACTAAAGCAAAAATTGGGCAAATGCCAACGCCTGAAGCAAGCGGGATTTTGCACAATAGATGATCTTCAGATAGTACGCACTTTTATGGGAATAATCACAGAACATAACCCTACATTTGACTTTCATCGATTAGAGAAAGCGCTACACTCCATTGAACATAGGTGGTTCTCAAGACAATGAACAAAGCAAAAGGATTAACTCAAGGTATACCTACTTCATTCATACAGATAAGAAACTCATTTGCATTTTATTACTATTTATAGGCGATAAACAGAAGCCGAAACCCAGCAGTACGTAGGTAAGAAGAGGGTCGATTATATTAGGCATCTTTGTTGAAAAATAATCCGCCTCTTTATCTTACTGATATTGACCGTTTGGCTTGTACGATATCAAGTCAAAAAATTAGCATAACAAATTAAACGAATTTCCGCAAAAGGGTAACAAGACCGGATGATTACTGCGAATCAGGCAGGAGCGGCCTAAATAAATATTCAATTATATTTTGCGCCTCTTCTTCGAGATCAATAATGTAGTATCCCTGCTTTCCGCTAGGTGTCGTCACAACTTTTGAGTCATACAAGCTGAAAAGTTGCTACTCTATTGGCTATTTGAACGGCTATCACTTAAGGGATATTTGATCTAAGTGGAGCTTTGAATGTGACTTTTGTTTCTACAAGAGTCACATTCAAAGCTCCACTCGTATTAAATATCCCTTACGTTATAGCGGTGCTAAGACGGGTATGTCTACTGATACTCCCTACTCCTGGCGAAACCAACCTCACTTCTCTACTTTGTGTGCGTGGTGACGCAACTTTTTTTAATCGTCTACATTTTTTACAAATAGTTTTGATTGTGGTGTTTTTGTGTTAAAATATCATGGAAAAACATCAATCCAGATCTTACTCGAGTGATACAAGTGATGATAAGTATTTGAAACGCCGAAAGGAAAGATCACGACATGGAAAAGACCGTGATTCACGCCCAACTTCGGTTGATATGGGTCGTAGTCGACGCAATCGAAGAGACTTGGATTCGGAAGAGGCCTATTCTCCTCATTCTAGATCTGGACGTTCCAAATCCAGGTCTAGAGAACCAGAAAGCCCCTCATCCAATTATGAGCAGATGAGTCCACGACCCCCTGCTGATAAACAAACTGTTGATTCTAAGTAACGTTGGTAAATATTATTTATTCAGCGCCGAGGCCGAACAGTGTACACATTCTCCTGCCGAGAACGTGTCATTTGTTAACAGGGGCCAGCCAAATTTTCTGGCCCCACACAATCTCCCGTGGAGAAAGTGTAATACTTAATAATAGGGGTTAGCCAGAGTTCTGTTTGTACACAATCTCCCGTGGAGAAAGTGTATCGTTGTATTATACATCAGATAATTCAATTTGCTCCTAATATACTCATGTAAGTACCTATTTTAGGTTCAACTGTAATGGAGCTAGTAGACCCCCTTGAAGCCCGAACTAGACACTCGTGTGCTAAATGCTATGGGCGCTGATAGCACCTAGAAAGTCTCTGTTTGAGAAGCGATTCATGAATTATTGGCTCTCAGTATGAGGAACTCATAAAGAAAGGCTTGCCTGAAGATGCGCTGTTAGAGCTTGGTAAAAAATACCCGTTTCCAGAAAACTGTGCCTTGCTTCAAGCTCCTAAATTGAATCCAGAACTTAAGGCGGCAATTAATGATTCTGGAAAAAAGCGCGATGAACGATTATGGAACATCCAAAATTCAGTTGGCACAGCCTTGGCTGCGGTGGGAAAAGCCGAGACATTAGCTGTCATTGGTTGTCTGAGTGATGCAGGTCGCCTATTGGCGAAGACATCATTCAGGTCCATTATTTTGGGCTTTTCCTTACAGAGTAATTTACAGCCTATCCTAAAAGAGGCCTTATTGGAAGCTCCATTGGATGGTTGGTCGTTTGGAACAGACTTATCGGAACGGTTGAAAACTGCCAAAGTTTTGGAAAAATCAGTGGCTGATTTGAGAGTAGTGAAACCAAGACCAGACCTTCAGACGAAGACTCTAAACTCCCAGGGCCCGTTCCGGCAGCAAAACAGGTCGAGATACCAACAACCTTATCAGTGCCAGAGCGGGCAAAACAAGTATCGCTCCCAGACTCAAAAAGTTCAAGAGGAGCAGCAAGTATTAGGCGGGTGATACACTGGAGAAATAAGTTTCATGAAACTTGTTGCAAGAAACAGGAAATTTGTTCCATTATCACACAACACATACATTCAAATGAGGCAGCGCACACTGGCGTTTCTGAAACAGGAGGGCTGACATTGTTTCGCCAGTGTGTTCCGCTTCATTTGAATGCATGTGTCCTGTCATAATGAAACAAATTTCTGGTTGCTTGCAACAAGTTTCATGAAACTCATTTCTCCAGTGTCAGCCTTAGTAAGTTTACATGCAGGCCGGTTGGCTTATTTTAAACATAACTGGCCGAAGTTTCCCAATGACCTTTTTATCTTATTTTGGCTGAGTGGTTATACCATTCCATTCTCAAAGAAAGTGGTTCGGAGCAGTGCTCCAAAAGAACCCCCCTGGTGTGTCCTGGAAAAGATTGAATTAAATCCAGCCATTAGGAACTTATTACAAATAGGTGCTGTTGTAGTCCATGTACCCAAATCAGATGGGTCTAGTGGATTGGTTTTAAATTTGAAAATCTCAAATGAGTATATTACTACCAACCATTTCAAACTCGAGGATGGGAGAATGGTTGAGAACATTTTGACTAAACATTGTTGTATGGCTACACTGGATTTGAAGGAGGCATATTTTTTAATTCCAGTATCAAAACAGGATCGAAAGTATTTACGTTTTATTTTTGATTCCAAATATTATCAATTTAATGTGATGCCTTTTGGGCTATGCACTGCCCCCTGGGTATTCACAAAGCTTTTAAAACCAGTTTGTTTCCTATTTTCGAAGCAGGGTTTTTATCAGTAAATTATTCAGATGATGTTTTGCTTATAGAAGCCTCGTACGATACTTGTAATTTTAACATACAATATACAATTAAAACCTTGTCTGAATTGGGTTTTGTCATAAATTATCAGAAGAGTGTGCTTTCACCATGTAAATCCTGTAAGTTTTTAGGCTTCCTCTTTCACTCTGACTCCTTATGTTTGGCTTTGCCTTCAAAGAAATGTTAACATCTGATAGGTTTACTGAAGAAATACAGGGCACTAAAAACCTGTAAAATAAGAGATTTCGCTCATTTGTGTGGAACTTAGGTCTCGGTTTGCCCAGCAATAGCCTACAGTTCGTTTTACACCAAGAGTTTCGAGAGGGCCAAGTTTTTGGCTTTACAAAGTTCTCAGGGAAATAACGATAGTAGGGTTCAAGTTCCTAAGAAATTGCAGGAAGATTTTGAATGGTGGTTAGCAAAGATGCAAAGCCCTTCCTGCCCTATAAGACAATTTTCTTTTGCATTGGAGATTTTTTCTGATGCCATGCCTCTGGCTTGGGGTATATTTTGTCATGGTAAATGATCCAGAGGTTTCTGGAGACCTGAAGAGAAAATAAGACACAAAAATGCGCTAGAGTTGTTGGCTGCTTTCTTTGGGCTGAAATACTTTGCATCGCACCTTAGAGACTATGAAATTCTCTGCGTATTGATAATACAACTGCCATTGCTTACGTAAATAGAATGGGCGGCGTGCAATTCCCCACGTTAAATGATATTTCAAAACAATTGTGGCAGTGGTGCGAACAAACAAGCATTTGGGTATATGCTTCGTAAATTAAATCAGCAGACAATTTTGAGGCTGATAGGGAAACTAGAATTGGTGATTCGGAAAGCGAATGGCAGTTATCCGATGAAGCAACAAAATAGTTGAAGAATTTGGTATGCCTGAGATAGATACCTAGAGCAAGCCATCTTAATAAGAGAGTTGAAAAATTTGTTTCATGGTTCCCTGACCCGGAAGCTTATAAAGTAGATGCTTTTACTCTGCCCTTCTATGCCTTTCCCCCATTCTATCTAATTTTAAAGAAATCTAGAGGTGATTGGCTGAGTCAACCTTGGTATCCCATTTTGGAAAAAATGTGTGCTAAGGTTATATCTAACCTTCAAACCAAATATTAAATTATTAATTTCTGTTGACTGGAAACCTCATCAGTTATGGGAAAAGCTCACCCTGGTTGATGGTCGGCTGTGCGAAGTTTTCTTTGATATAATTAAATTGCATAAAGAGATCAGAAGAGAAGAGGGTTTTGAGATATGGATACTGGACAGGATAAAGACTTCAGGGTTAAATAAAGTTCAGCCAGTGCTTGTTTTACCAAAATATGAAAAGACACCAAGTTTGTGTGTAGCAAGTACTTTAGAATGTTACTTGGAAAGATCTTCTACGCTGAGGGCAGATATTTCAAAATTGTTCATTACCTTTGAAAAGCCCTTCATAAAGCGGCAACCGTTCAGAGTTTGAGTAGATGGATCAAGGCTGTACTAAAGAAGAGTGGCGTAGATATATCTAAGTTTTTAGTACTCGTCACGCTTCAACTTCAGCAGCTTTGCGTAATGGGATTTCGGTTGAAATTATTCGTAAGACAGCTGGCTGGGCTGCTAATTCTAATACGTTTGCTTTATTTTACCACAGACCTTTAATTTCTGGAAAAGGCACTTTTGCAAAAACAATTTCCCCTTAACTAGAATAATATTCTATCAAGTTATTTTTACATGTCTAGTAGATGGTTATATATGAATGTATAAATAAATATTAAAGAATTTTGTAAAAAATCAGCAAATTGCTTTAAACATCTACATTATTGATCTCGTAGAAGAGGCGCAAAATAGGTATACCTAGAAGATCAAACGAACTTACCTGGAAGTGAAGTTCGATCTTAATTATATGAACCGCCTCTTCGAAGAGATCAGTCCCTCCCTTCCAGTATCAGTAGACATAGAGTAGCAACTTTTTAGCTTGTATGGCTTTAAAGTTGTGGCGACACCTAGCGGAAAGCAGGGATACAACTATTATTGATCCCTTCGAAGAGGCGCTTCATGTAATTGGCATCGAACTTCACTTCCAGGTAAGTTCGTTTGATCTTTTAATTTTATTGTGTTTATCGTCGAAATTTCATGGAAGATTTAATGACCTTGTGCTATTTTCAGGTACTGAAAGGTACGTTCTCGTTGAAATTTCCCTCACCAGTTATTATTATTCAGTGTCACTAGAAATCTACAAATTTTGTTTTAGCACAATCCCTTATTAAAAAAAAAAAACAAAAAAATCTTATTAAGTATTGCCGTAAGCATTCAAGACAAAATCAAATATGGTCCTGAACAGCCATAAATTATTTTTCCCATTGGTTTCTTCAGTATAAGGAGTTTCACGTGACCGAACAATACATTTTGGAAAAGGCATATTATTTATTGAATTTTGCATTTCTTATATCGGTGGATAGAGTATACTCGATTCTAATAAAAGACATATATGCAAGTCAGGATAGACAAAAAAAATATTGAGTCTGGGACAGTATTTTTTTTAGGTTTTGGATTATATACGCTGTACAGTACATTATCTTTGAAGTATTTTTACCCAGGCAAAAAGGTGACCAACTAATTTGTTTCGAATACTTCACGAAGTATATTATTAGTCTTGTCATTCTACGGAAGCAGCACTAACATGCACGCTCTAATAAAAATCAATTTATAATAATTAATGCGGCATTTTCAGGTTTTTATATACCTAGTGGGCGATGAAAATGATTGAGATTGCTGATTGTCGTTCGATGATAGCCTTAAAAAGCAATTTTCCCACATGCTCGATATTCCATCGGCCAATCCGTTAATTTTTCTGCATAATATAAAAATAAATTAAAACATGTATATTCTATACTAATTTTAAATGCAATAACAATAATAATTCCTAAAGCCTATATAAATTGTAGATACCCGAATAAACTTTTTACTTACGGTATCAATGATCCGGTAGGATAAATTAGATCTCCGATAATAATAGCTTCGATGTCTTCAAGGGGTAATTTCTTGCAACTAAGCCTTTTCAGTGCAATAAAGTCGTATTTAATCACCAACAGAATTTTTGGTGTTAGTAGAATTAGACGTTCTTTATCTGTATCCCAATGGTTTATCCTATAAGAAAAAAAAAACGTATTCAAGGCCTTGGAATGAATAATATAACCTAGCCAATTAACAGAAAAAAATCATCCTCAGATTAAACAAACATGGTGATGGTATCTACTTACTGGGTGAGCAAAAAGGACTCTATAATAGGACCTTCAGTTTCCATATCCAAAAATTCTGTAGCACATTCAGTAGCTGCCCTCTCAGCCACCCCATCGCGATATGTAAAGAAATTGTTAGCATCCTGTTCGATATTAATCTTCGGCTGTAGAGTCTGGATCGGTACCGGCAACTTTTCCTGAATCGGTGATGGATCTTTCGGTTTGGTGTTCCATAAGGTCTCTGTAACTAGAATGGCAAACATTATATGTAATTTTTTATTATTTATTTTATAGCTACTTATTGTTGTATAATGTGGAAAAATAAAGCCAGTGTGGATAGACATGCCGGACATTATTATTGCAAATAGGGAATTTAATAATACCTGCCGATGCGAAATGATATTGAAATTAGATAAGACACCGCCGAATATATTCGGGTGACAAAAAAGTGTCGACTGTTATCGTATCATTTTATTTACATTTATGTTATCGAAGTGGTATTTGCGTTTTATACTCTGTGTCACAAAAGTAACAGAACTAACAGAAATCATTCTTAAAATTGATGCAATGTTAAAGTATCTGATCCACATTTTTCTGATGTTTACTCTGGAGTAACAGCGAAGAGGAATTGTACAAAATTTAGGATTTGATAACTCGCTTAAAAATATGTCGTCAATATTTTGATCTATGTTTGATGTGATATGAAACAAATATTGATAAGGTGAAGGTCTACATTTCATAAGCTTTTCGTTCTTTTGGAAAAAAAAATACTGCTGGCAACACTGAATGTTTATCCGCATGCATACTATGCATGGTGAACACCGCGAATTATTTGTAAGTTCTGCAAAAAAGACACATCGTCCAGCCACAGCGTTGCCACCTCATTTGTACGATAGAATAACATGAATCAGCAGTGCATGCCTCTGACGCCTCTTGAGCGAGATCGCACTCGATCGGAGAAAGGACGGCATAGTTGCTATCTTTGTCTATTTTGAACGTCGTGGCCCATACTTGTATAAATCTATCTTTATGAACTCCAGTTTGCAACTACGTTTACCCGACTGAGTGTTTACCGTTTGGAAAGTGGCATTCAATAAATCATTCGTGTTACAAAAAGGCAGAGAATAGTGTAGAAGGGATAGAGAGATAAAATTATTACATATAATCTTGAAATTTAACGTTCAAAAAAAGCTGGATATAAATTCCAAAAATGAGAACGCGCTAAATCCCGTTATGTTCTGGATGACGTTGCCCGATCTGTAAATTTATCAGTGAAATGTTTCCTCAGATGATTTAGTTTTTTAACGAAAATATATTTTTTTCTGACAGAACATGAAAAATCTGCGAAAATAGAATGTCATATTTTGATAATTGCCAGGCAAAATAGAGACCAGGAAAATAGAACATCCAATAAACAGTTCTATTTCCAACGAATTTATGAGATATTGGATATTGGTGCAGTGAAAAAGGCATTAAGAAATGGCCTTGTGATAAAGATGAACTCACTTTTATTGTACCTGAAGGTTTGGTGAAATCGTGCAGAACTTCTGATGCAAATAATAGCTACCCACCAACAAAGGGAGTGGTAGTCAGGATCAGACTTTCTAAGGGTCATAATCATGGAATCAACTTAAGATGGCGACTAAATGGTTGCTGAACTACCAGAATCACCTGACTAAAATTGGCCATCAGTGCTCCCAACATTTTACAGAGTGATGATGGAACAGAGTTTGTCAATATAATTATCAATAAGGATTAAGTCTCCAAAATGGTCTTCTTTTAAAATAATTGATGAGGCGTCCCAGTTATCCACTCAGACAAGAAAGTGCTCAAAGATTTTGTCAAATTCTCAACAACGCTTACAAAATCAAATAACTTCGAGCAACCAAGCAATTCGAATTCCTTTCAGAGAGGAGATGGTGAGAGGCGGGGCGGCGCACGGTACCCGGTACCACCAACATGCACGAGGAAACGAAGCTTGCTTGAGGGTTTCAACCTTCAAGTCCAAAGAAAAAAAGGGACAGTATAGCTCGAATCTCGGTTACGAATACAAGCGATACAGAAAACGTCGCGTGTGCTTTCGAATCAGACAAGCGTTTGCTACGGGCTTCCGTTAAATTGTTGTGAGACCCCTTAGTACCTGTGTGTGGTGTATTTTGGACTAAACAATTTATATTTATTAGCGATTTTCCGAATTTAGAGAAGAATAGTTAATTTGCTAATAATTTAAGTGCAATTCAAATAAAGCCCAATTATAAAGAAGAAAGTGTCTCGTTTTCTTAACTCATAAATTCAAATTAGTTCTCTTCTTGGGAATTGGTCAATATCTAAACCCAATTTAAAAGATGATGGTGCATTGCACACACCAATATAGTCAATATTCTCATTATTTCCAAAATGATTTTCTTTATCGATTTTCCTAAATTATCATTGAACTTACTTTTCGTAGAAATGGATGACAATGGCAAAGGTAGTCCACTCCAATAACAACTACTGTTGCTCGCCGTGCTATCAGTTTTACTAATGCCGCCCTTATTCTCTCTAAAATTCTCCCTTAAACCTGATGAACTTGCCGACTGTTGCTCGCCACCGCTGTTTTTGTTAAACCGCAAAGTTCCGCCCCTAAATTCTTCGTGGACTTCTTCTTCCAACGACATGGCTTTCAATATGAATTTACACTGATCCGATAAGAAATATAGGTTGTGTCACTACGGTAAAAATTTTTCGCTGATTTTATGTTAGTTTTGTTGTGTTTTTCGGTTAAATACTCAGCTATGCAGTGATGCAAAAGAATGGATTTAATAACAGAAGTCAGCTGCTTGGATTTCATTGATTTTTTGGTGAATGTCAAGTTCTTACCGGCGCCGGCGTTGCGTCGCTGCTGAAAGAATTATTATTGTAGTCTAGTTAAAACTTCGCAGTAAGTTTGTTCCGATAAGAGCTGAGAATATGTATCTAAAGAACTTTTGAAGGCATTATTAGAAAATTTATGGAAGTGGAAACCAGAGGTCTAGCTGTACAGTGACTCAATAAGCCACAGTGGCGACAATTGCCATCCTATTTTTAATTGGTTCTTTTGAATATCCTATACATATATTATTAATATTGGAAATATGGATGAATATGGTGGCGGAGGCGTGGCTCAATTTCAGATTCCTATCTAAAATTATCAATTATATGACGGCGGCTCAAGAATACGAATGCCGGTGGGACGGCTATTGTCGCCACTGTATGAAAAGATTTATGGAGTCACTGTATCCAGCTGTAATTTGTAACGCCATCTATAATATTAGTCAGCAAAGAATACTGAACAAAATATACCAAAATGCATTGTCTATTTTTCGTGAACTATTACTGAGAAACAGATAATGGGCTTCGTCTCTTTGGTTGCTGGCGCTATGAGCACCAATTTTTGATGACTGGTACCATACTGCTCCTCTACTTGATCGATGTCTCCATCACACCGGAACTTGAAGCCGCCTTCTCCAAACCAAAGTCGGCTTGCCGTTCGGTAATGTCGGGTGGCTCCTTTCAGCAGGTGTGAACGTGCCAGAGACCCTCCAAGATTTTCTGGCACGTCCGAATTGCCTAACTGGCCAAATTAGGCAATACAATCCATCTGTCAAAACGAAACATTCAATATGGCGTGGCGGCCAGCAAGTTTGTTTTGAATATGTGCTTTCATGCATATTTGATTTTCATTATTCAATAAAATTTTTATTGACTAGGTACGTAAACATTTAAGTCGGGAAGAAACTAGATTTTTTTGTGTTTTTTGGTCCATGTGTGGCCGCCACGCCATCTTGAATGTCACGTGGTTTGCATTGCCTAATGTTACACAATTAATGTTCCTCCGTTTGTCAAAAAACACAAGGTTAGGTTGTATGTATGATTTTGTGTAATAATGATTTGCTTTTTGCATTTCTAAAAATCAAAATGTAAGCGAAACAGGGTTTGCAATAGTGTGTTTTATTTTTTACTGTCTCTACCTACTTCTCAATTATTATTCAATAATTTAATAAGTATGTACTAAAACGATTTCATATGGACATAAGTGCATGCTTATCTCACAAAGCCAAATAGTGATACCTACTTCAGATATTCATAATCATAATCCATAAAAACACTTCGTTTCTCATCTTTTCCATGCATTTACATAGTAAACGCGCCAATAAAGGACTGCAACTGAAGTCACAGTACTGGCGGAGAGATTTTCCAGATGTAAACTGTAGCGCCATTTATGATATGAGCATGGTATTAGTCAGCAAAGAATATTGAAAAAAATATATCAAAATGCCAAACTCTACATTTTCTTGTCTATTTGTCTGATACCATGCTCATATCATAGATGGCGCTACGGCCTCGCCATGACTACAATGACGACAATAGAGGTCCCGCCGCCATTTTGTGCCCAACCTCTTGCTACTTTTAAATATGAATATATAGAATTTAAAAGGACATCTATCATAAAAAATTCAAAACAACGAATTTGATGTGCCTAATTATAGTCATCGGATTTATATTTAAAAGTAGCAAGAAGTTGGGCAAAAAATGGCGGCGTTTTCCATATGAATATATAGGATTTTAAAGAACCAATCAAAAAGAAGACGGCAATTGTCGCCACTGTGGTAATAGAGTCACTGTATCCATACACTGTTTCCTTTTCCTTAGGGAAAGAGCAAGAAAAGGTCGAAGACCATGAAGCGATCATAAACCATAAGCGGCTTTCAATAAGACTCAGGTAACTAAGAGTTGGCGGGTGACAGTTCAGTATCAATTTTGCACTTGTAAGTGGTGTATGCATTATACAGTGTGTTTTTTCATTGTAAATTTATTGTAAAAATGTCATCAGGCATCAATCCGGTAAAATGTAACGGCGTTTTTGATTGCAAAGCCATCAGGACTATAGTATTGAATGGACATGATGCCATTAGTGCATCAGGTGCCTTTAAGTATAGCCGGAGAGCCAGCGCCGAAAAAATTCTCTGAATTTACTAAAGCCAGTTTTTGGTCAGTTGATTACAGTATTTACGTACATAAACATACCTCGGTCAGTCAAGCGAAACTTGGGACAAGGACCTAGGGTGTCTGGTTAAAGTTGTCGAGATGCAACGAATTTACTAAGGCTGAAAATCGCTACACATATTATGTATAACACATAAATAACAGTGATGTTTGTCAGTCAGTTGAATAGCGGAACTGGGCCGGTCATTCAGCCCCATTGAGGTAGTTCAGCCCCAATTTATGTAAAAATAATAACAGGTCTATCTTTTTTTAGAGTGACAGCGTGACAGTGACAATTCAAAATTGTAGGTTGAAGTTTAAATTAATAGGTTTGTTCAGTAATATTATAATTTTTTTGCAGATTTTTACATTTATTGGGGCTGACTGACCAGCACGGTCCCGCTATTAAACTGACTGACTAACACTACTGTTATTTATATGTTATATATAATATATACCGGGTGCCCACGAGATCACTTTCCGGCGGCCATTTTTTTATTTGTCTATCGATATCAGCGAAACTTGGCAGGGTTGATATCCTAACCAAACGCTATTTTTATACATTTATGACAAGTTTTCCTGGCTTCCGGTTTCACCGGAAATGACCGCAACTTGTGATTTTTGAATGACACACCCTGTATATTTTTTGTTTTTCGGATTCTACAGATCATTTTACATCCTAATGCACCACTTTTGAATCGATTTTGGTCCAAATTTTGTTTTTTAATTAAATTTTAGTTTTTTAACTAGAGTGCCATGATCATCCTAAAATGACTCAACAAACTTTACTTAATTTTAGAAAAATAGAAACTCAATTTTATCTTTGTAAATTTTTTTGATACAGGGCTGTAGACTTCATTATTTCAGTATTTTTGCCCTAGCTCAAAAACTAGAATAGAAACATATCACTTTCATAACATTACTAGTAGAATCCGGAAAACAAAAAATATACAGGGTGTGCCATTTGAAAATCAAAAGTTTCGGTAATTTCCGGTAAAACCGGAAGTCAGGAAAACTTGTCAAACATGCATATAAATGGCGTTTCGTTAGAATATCAAGCCTAGCAAGTTTCGTTGATATCGATGAACAAATAAAAAAATGGCAGCCGGAAAGTAATCTCGTGGGCACCTGGTATAACGATTTTCAGCTTTAGTAAATTCGTTGCATTACCCAAGTTATCTCGACACCTTTAACAAGACACCCTGGGTCCTTGTCCCAAGTTTCGCTTGACTGACCGCGGTATGTTTATGTACGTAAATACTGTAATCAACTGTCCAAAAACTAGCTTTGGTAAATTCAGAGAATTTTTTCGGCGCTGGCTCTTAGACTAGTACTACCCAATGCACATGTGCAAATATGACAGGGATGAGTGAATCAACAATCTATAGATTTCTTAGAGAAAGAAAAAGTGATAATATTGTCAACACACGAGCCTGCTTGGGAAAATAACACACTGTACATGAATTCAATGATGTGTTTATTGCAAATCAACAAAACACAGGAAAATTAATCAAGAAAGGGATATACAGGGTGAATCCGAAAGTGAGGCTTTTTTTTAACAGGATGTATATCTCACCAAAATAAGTTGTTTGGCAGAAAATTGTTTATATAAAAAATTTAAGATAACGGAGGTACAGCTATTTTGAGGTTAGAGGAGACTTCCACTATAAATCACTTTGTTTACATTTTCTCAAAAAAAAAGCCGCAAAAAAGCCATTATTAGTCCAGCATAATGAGTCTTATTCCATAATAGGTACTCACAGTTGCATTATTCCATCAGAAAAAATTTCATTTTCAACCTATCAATTTTCGTTTTAAAGTGAAACAGACAAAATTTAGGAGGGAAATGAAGCATCATACAAATGGAAATAATTTTGAACAATTTTTGTGATAATTGTTATCATATTTTCTCTACTAAATCTTAGATTATTGAAATTAGATTTTTAATGCACATAACCCTAAAATACCTGTACCTCCGTTATCTTAAATTTTTTATGTAAACAATTTTTTGCCAAACAACTTATTTTGGCGAGATATATACCCTGTTAAAAAAAAACCCTCACTTTCAGATTCACCCTGTATACTGCGATGGAAGCCGCATCAAAAGACAGACTTGAGCTAGTGCTAGTACCGCCACCCTGGGAACGCCCCTCTGGATTCAAGTCTTCCCAGTGCCTCCAGTTGGGAAAGCCACTCTGGGTATCTTCAGTCTTATCATTATCCAGCGCCGGTACCTCTAGTTGGGATAGCTCCTGTGGACAAGGCATAAGGGTCACTAGTTACAGTGGCGTAGCAAATAAACCGACAGTCCCCCAAGCAGCGTTGACGTATTCCACCTATAAGGACCTAGCGTTAGAAGGGTCATGCATCCTATAGGGTTAGGATATACATGTGCAAGAGACATATTGGGCACTTTTTATACTAATTGAGCGAGTTTCTCTTTATCAACCCCCATGTCACCCCTGCAAAACAGGCGGTTGTGACATATTTGGTGGAGGCGCCGTTGTCGATAGTACCGTGGTGTTGAATCTCCCTATTCAGCAGCCAAGTTTCCGTCACCATTATTGCAAGAATATATGTCGGATAAACCCAAATACAACTTGAGGAAGAAAACGCAGCAGCTACACCGGGAGTGACAGCCCTTCCAGAAACC